TGTGTGTGTGTGTCAAATTCTATTTTATCTACTCTCCTACATAAAGGGGACCAACAGTACTTATAAAATAGTCTCCTGGAATGTTAATGGCCATAATAATCTGCTAAAAAAAAAGAAGATGCTTAATTATCTTAAGAAGCTACCTCCTGATACTGCAGGCATACAAAAGACTCATCTCACAAGTGATGAATCAGCTACATTAAAATAAAATTTGGACTGAAGAATATATTTTGCATCCTATCAAAGGAAAAAGCAAAGAGAAAATAGAAAACTCTTCATTCTAAATTATGCCATCCTTATCTGACAAAAAGAGTAGAGATGTACCTATATCTGGAAATATAAACAGACAAGGAACTATCAGATTTGTCACCTAAAAAGAATGGCTCAGGTGAGAAGATCTCTCCCACATCCTCTGCAGTGAAGGCAGATTCAAAGAATTCATTTAGCTTCTCTGCAAAGGCTCTGTCTTCCCTGAATGCTCCTTTAGCCCCTGGATTGTACAGTGGCCCCACTGACTGTTTGGCAGGCTTCCTGCCTCTGGTGTTTTTCGAAATAATTTTGCTGGTAGTTTTTGTGTCTTTAGCTAGTTCCTTTTCACATTGTTTCTTGACCTGCCTTATTATACATTTTCACTTGACTTGCCAGAGTTTATGCTCCTTTCTACTTTCCTCACTGGCATTTGACTTCCAATTTTTAAAGGATGCCTTTACTGCCCCTTTTTCTCTGCTGTTTAGTCATGGTGGCATTTTTTGAGCCTATGTTTTTTTAATGATTTATTATTTTTGTTATTAATTATTAATTATTATTATTATTTGGGGTATACATTTAGTTTGAGCCTCTGTTATGGTGATTTTAAATAGTTTGACTGCAGTTTACAGGCATTTCACCTTTGTACTGTTCCTTTCATTTCCATTTAACTAGCTTCCTCATTTTTGTGTAATTCCCCTTTTTGAAGTTAAATGGTACTCTGGTGGGTTTCTTTGATATTCCCCCCTTACAAGGATGTTAAATTTAATTACATTTTTGTCACTACTACAGAGGAGTTCAGCTACAGTAGAACCTCAGAGTTACCAACACCTCAGGAATAGAGGTTTTTTGTAACTCTGAAATGTTCATAACTCTGAACAAAACGTTATGGTTGTTCTTTCAAAACTTTACAATTGAACATTGACTTAATGCAGCTTTGAATCTTTACTATACAGAAGAAAAATGCTGTAAGAAGCATCTTTAATTATGACAACAATAGAGAACTGGACCTGATTAAAAAAGAAACTTGGAAAAATAATCAAGTTAACAATAGTTACCTCAACTACTGGAAAGCCTAATAATTGAGAAAGTAGCTTATCAGAAAATATTATATACTACTTTATTTCAGAGTTTATTCCACTGAGGAACATCAGGAATAGAAGGGATTTTTGTAATTTCCTTTTGTAATTGTTTCCAGCTGTGTAGTGTTTCAACAGAAAAAAAATGACATACAAATAACTCAAGACATAACGGAATTGAAGACAGTTTTATTCCAGGATTCTCCATGGAAAGGAATAATAGGTAAAACAAAGTGAACAAAATAAGCTTTAAAGAATGGGGGGAAGCAGTTGACTTCTAAATATAAGAAGAATGTAATCAGATAATATATACGGGATACCATGCTACTGCCTATAATTTGATGGGAACACCATATCACCCGTACATAGATTCTGTTCCTCTGCTTCCAGATAATAGGCTACGGAAATTACATTGTTGGAGAAACTGCAGTGGAGAAGGGAGCTTGGACCAAATTATATGGTACTGTCCCAAAATATATAGACATATTGCCAGAAACAGTACCTGTCACCAAAAATGAAAGGTATTGAGATCTCCCTGCTGGAAATAATGAGGAAAATATAATCCAGAAATAACAGATGCCAGAACACAGAAAGATGTACAAAGTTTTTCACGGAGAAACACACTACTGTCAGGACATGGAGGTTAGCACTTCCGCCTTCTTATAGAAAGTGGTTAAGAGTGGGTGGCAAGTGGCAACAGGTGGAAATGGAGTGCCACACGTATTTGTTTCAAAACAAACTGAAGAAATGTAAAGCTGCATGATCTCCTTTCTTAAGTGACATGGCAGAGCATTCTTTGGTGTTGCAGCACAGGAGACAGAGACAAAAGGTCAATTTAAACTGAAATTGGACAGACCCAACTCAGCCTTTGTGAAGTATCAGAGATTTTCCAGGTGCCCTGTGTCACTGGAGTATGGTGTACAACTATTATGGTATGCAGATATTGGCTCTCAAATGTTTATAGAGCTAGATAGATCATGACCTGTTGTTATGCAGGTGTAGGGGGAAAGAAAGGGAGAGAGCAAGAAACCTTCCTCAGCCCTTGAATCATCAAGATTTGCAGCCCCTGCACTTGGGGGAGGACAGAACTGCATCTAAGTTGTGCCCCACCAGGAGTAGACCACCACCGCCTGTGCCTACAGAGTTGTGAGGAGGTAACTATGCTGCACTTCTACATGTGGTAGAAGTGTCCATGCTCCCCCATGCACTAGAGAGCTCTGGGGGGCTTTCTGCCTATCATAGACTGAAGGGTCTTGGTGATCTTCCTGGAATGATATCCCACACCACCTCCAGCTCAGGGTTGTGCCTTAAAAGGCACAGTCTAGCCCACAGTGAGTATTAGACTTAAGATAGATCATAGAATATTTATCAATATTATATATTTGTATTACAGCAACACCTAGAAGACTCAACCAAGACTGGTACTCCATTGTGCTAGGTGCTGTACAAGCACAGTGAAAGACAGTTCATTCCCAGAAGAGCTTACAGTTTAAACAGACAATAAAACAAAGGTTTGGGGATGAGATATGAGTACAGGGAACAATGTGATGCTTGTAATATATTTAATGTTGTTTTTCCTTTGAGTTTTTGCTGTTTGTTATTTAATAGTTTTCTTTTTCTTTTTAGCTTTGTCTAATAGTTCCAGAGCAGGTGAGCTCAAAGGAAGAAAGGTTGAAGTCTCAAGTCAATGTACAGGTGTGATTATTCTAAGAATGTTTACTCACAGTATATTTTGTATCTGATTCTGATGTATTGACAAGACCTCAATAAAAAGCTACATTGAAAAGCCAAAACTTTGAACTCAGATTCTGAAAAAAAGAGAAATTACTCCTCATTTATAAGCACCAAAATCCTCTCCAGCATTACAAATATGACATACATATCTATCTTGCATCTTCAATAAAATATTACTAAAATTTTATACCTTGATATTTTATACAGAGCAGCAAGATAGTTACAACTAAAGACTTGTCTACATGGAGAAATTGACATAACTATTTTTATAATTGTTCCATGAAAACTCTGCTGGTATAACTCCCCAGGTGAGGACACTATTCCAGAATAAAACTGATTTTAGAACAAAAAGGACTTCAGTAGGTGGTAGGCATCTAGGCACTTCTGAATATTCCGTAGACATCTATCTGCATCTGTAGGCGTCTAACCACCACTGACTAGCAATGAGGCTCGTAGGGCCCAGCTTCTCAAATGTATTTAGGCACCTAACTCCCATTGAAACCAACAGATGTTAGGAGCCTAAATACCTTTAATGATCTGGGCCTAAGTGCCTAAACTCCCTTTGAAAATGGGACTCAGGCTCCTAAGTCACTAGTTTTAAAAAAATATATTCTGTATCCCTTCACCACCACTGAACTTCAGGTACCTCTGGGACGGAAGGTGACTACAAACTATTCCACAACACTCTGCTTATGGAGCAAGGAGAATGGTGACTGAGGACATTGCAGAAAACTCTGCTTTTAGTAAAACTGAAAGCAATGAAACATTGAACCAGGTAAATTTATGTCTGTGTAATTCCCATGCTGGTAATCACTGATCTTGCCTGCATGTCTAAGGTATTAATTACACTTGGGAATATAATAGGTTCCTATCTTGCCAATAACTGCTATAATGAAGTAGTGATCGCATGAATGTTCATGTGTTGATAAAGTAGTATCTGTTGTAGTAACTTGGCAAAAGGCATAACTGTTTTGCTATAAATTATTAAAAATCATTCGGAAAGGACTGACATTCCCCTGCAGCACAATGGCTATGTGCATGATACACCAAATGGACGTTCTGGATGCCTGCCTGCTGCAGCCTAGCTGATTTGCCCCATAACATGTGAAGGTTTGATTGTATGTTGGTATGAAATCAATGCCTAATGGCCCAAAAGAGCTCCTGGCATACTTTCAAAACATTTCATGGTTTTTGCTTTCACAGTTGTTCCCGGGCCTTAGTTTATCCTCCACCAAAACTCCTGTTATGAATGTTGCCCTATAAGTGTTTACTTAAAACTTTTGTGCACAAGCTATTTTTCAAAAAAGAATCTGTTTGTGGTTTTAAGAAAACATATACAGCAGGCAATGAACGCCTTACATAAAAGTGAAATAACAATCACAACATTTTTGGTATAACTGCCATGCAATTAATCTGTGTGCACTGACAGTTGTGAGGTAAGCCTCTTACAAGTGTTTGTCTCCTTAGGAATTCCTCTGTATTTAAATAGTGATGAAGAGATGACTGGTCTGTTTAACCACAGAAAATTCTGAGCAGCTGCCTCTGCAGTTATTAGCTCAGCCTCCTTGAACAAAAATTTACAATAGGGTGGCATTACTCCCAACTTACACAAGTGTTTTGTTAAATCTTCCTTGTCCTGTGGAGAGTCATATATAAAGTGATCATGCAGAAATACTAGCCTCTTTAAAGTTATTGAGTCAATTAATTAAGTTGCTGTGACTGACAAACTTGCAATCAGAATATGGAACACATCAGTTCTTATAATTCATTAAATGAAATTATTTATGGACAAAAAACTAACAAGAGCCAATCTGCGAACTAGTGTAACACCCTGTGAAGTTTGGAGGTGCCACGTCTCTTATGCCAGATTTTGCAAGATTAATATATGATGGTCAGACAATTTGTTCCATTTACCTCATCAATTATATCTGGGATGTGTCCTTACCTGGGTTTTTATGTTATTGTAAAAATCATATAAAACAAATCTTCTAAGCCTAGGCCAGATGTCTATAGCTTTCTACTGCTTCTGGCAAAGAAATCAAAGCGCTGTGACGATATTGAAAAAAGATATGGAAAAACTCTCAGCTAACTCGTCCTATTGCTGGCTGGCAGAGTCTGTATATATATATATATATATATTTTAAATACCAGAGGTTCCATTAGTTATTCCTATGGTCTTCAAAGATGCCATCTGCTGGACATGGGTTCACACACACTGGGTTAATCCAGAACTGTCACAGAGGGCATATGGTCAAGAGGAGAGAGAGCATATGGTTTGGGGAAGGGCATTTGCTTTAGCTGCTGAACCCACCCCAGCTGGCTTATCTGTTGAGTAAGCCTAAGATTTCATTGAGGAAGACTGCCTGTCTGCCGGGGGTGGGGTGGGGGTGTCAATATAAAGTGTCCATGCTCAAGCCAACACGCTCAGATCAAACTGAAATCTATACACTGAGGTTGTTTTCTTTTTAGAATGGGTCAGAAAATAAGTAAAAACCTAGGTAAGAGAAAGCAGTCTCTGGAAGTAATTCAAATACAATTGAAATAGCTATCCATGAACCATGGCACAGACTTCTAAATAGAGACTCATTAAAGATGTCTAATACACAATATAGTATTTGATTATCATACAGCTCAGCAGGAGACCAACCTGCAGACTTTATTCAATTAACCTTAATGGGTCTATGCACTTGTCTAAAGGGCTGAAGAAGCAAGTCCCAAATGATTCCACATTCCTATTCTAATATCCTTGTGGGAGTGTTCAGTGAATCCCTGATGGTTGTGATGTATATTTGCTTTCTTTGGCCCTGATTCAGCAAAGCACTTATGTACCTGCTAAAGGGCTTTGGTGAGTCAGAGCCTTGATTATGACATTTAAAAAAAATTGAAGGGAAAAAAGAGGAATGGATCAAAAAAGAGCTTGGATGGAAAAATCTAAGTGGAAAACCAAGTCTTATATCTCCATCTCTGATCACCCAGAGGGGATGCAATGACTGAAATATAGACAGTACAAAGGTTGGTTGGTTCTCACAATTGTCTTAATTACCAATTCTATTTTCATTACATTCAACCAGAATTCAGCCAGGGAATCATTAGAGAGGGACAGTGTCCCATTTATTTATTTATTTGAGACAGACATTGTTTTCCCTCAGCTCTTTATACTCTAATCACCACCGATGGTGGGGGATGAGGGAGTGAATTTATGGCAGTTTATAATGGAAAGAATTAGGAAACTCATGGCTTTGTTATGGCAAAAAAAAAAAAACCAAAGTAACATTCTAGTTTTTAAAGAATGGGTAATGGGAGGAGGTGGAGTGGTGAGGAAGGATGGTCTTTTGGTTAAGGCACTGGACTGGGACTCAGGAGATCTGAATTCCCAGCTCTGTCACAGACTTCCGGTATGACCTTGGGTAAGTCACTTAATTGTTCTTTGTCTCTGTAAACTGGGATAGTATTTTATTTTTCCTACCCTTGTCTGTATTTTCTAATTAGGTATGCCTTGCCCCTGGTTGCACAGGAAGTTTATGGCAGAGCTGGGATTTTAACCCAGATCACCTAAATCTCAGTCCAATGCCTTAACAACAAACTGCAAAGGGACTTTAATGGGATTACATATGTGTAAAGTTAATCATGTGCATGTTTTCAGGATTGGGGTTCTATACCATATATATGGACACACACACAGAGGCTACCTAGTATGATGAGGCCCTGATGTTGGATGGGACCTTCAGGCACTATTACAAAGAAGAAGGTGAAATCATGACACAAAATCCTTTAATTGAAGTTACTTGTGTGAAATTATGAGAAACATCAAATAAAAAGATCTTTTATTTCACACTACAAATTATTCAAAGTCAGATAATATTTAGTTGCTATTTTTAAGCCATTTTAATAGCCACCATGAAATACATTGGACATACCAACCCTGATCCTGCAGACAGTTAAGCATGTTCATAGCTTTACTCATGTGAGTATACCTAAGTAAAAGGGGCTACTCAATAGTTCCTTATATGCATAAATGTTTGCAGGATCAAGCCCTTAACAATGACAAATGCTGTCAAAGTGTGGTAAGCCAAGGAATCTGATGACAAACACATTTGGCACTTCTAAAAATAGACTTTTGATCTGTAACAAATACATCCTTTGTATTTGAAAAATGAGCCTAGTCTCTGTTCTGTTAGAAACACAATAAAAAAAACACTTCTTCAATTAACCAATTTCTTTTGGTTTGGACTAGACTCATGAAAGTTGTCAGGAGGAATAAGCACAGCTCTGGGCAGTGTATCTGCATGGATCAGAGATGGTCCACGACTGGGGCTCCTCAGCACTATGGTAATTCAAATAATATTGATCCCCACAAAAACAGATGCTATTTTCTGTTGCCTTTTCAGTGGTGAATGTTTTTTAAACTGGAGAATGTTTTCCAACAGCACACGTTTGAAGACAGATGAATGTGGGGCTTACACCACTTTACAGTTTGCTTTGAAACTAGAAACCATAAATATCTAATGACAGCATAGGCCCCACCCCTGCTCCTGCACAGGGCGCTGCTGGTGTGGAGCTCAGTTTAAACAAGAGATTCTCACCATTTATGTGAAGTAAGGTTCTATTCTGAAAAGTGACTGAATGACCAGTGCTTGTCTACATGGTGCATCAGATGCGGGTGTAAACGCCAATGTGCACCAGTGTAGACTCTGCTGGTGTGGGTTAAGGTAGTACTGTTTAATGTAGGACTACATTAATCCATACTAGGGAACTTTTAATGCACACCAATAGGGTTCAGTCGGGCCAGTTAGTGCATAACACACTGGTGTGCATTGGAATTTACACTCCAGCTGGTGCAGACTAAGGCATCATGTAGACAAGACCTTTGTAAAAATAGCATCTTTGTACTCAAAGATGTGCTCTGGGTATACCCAATGTCCTATCTGTTCATTTTAGTGACAGAAATATGGCTTTGATCCCACAAGTTGTTCTGCAGGATTGCTGACTAGTGCCCTAATCCTGCAACAATTTATGCAGGTGCTTAACATTAAGCCCCTGATTAAGCATGAGTTAGTTTTCCTGTGTTTCCAATGGAACAGAAAGGATGCACATTAAGCACCATTGAGTTCCATTTATTATATGCATAAATGTTCAAGAGGGTCTACTCATGGTGTTTGAAGTTAAGCACATGGGTAAGTCTTTGCTGGCCTATGATAGCTCTGTAGGCCTATGTTTTTGCCTTTTACTCCTACGAGCCCTACACAGCCATCATAGATCAGACAGTGTGTGCTGGTAAGGGTGAGTCTGTGTTTTACCAGCAGGATTGTTGACTAATTCCAATACTGTACACCTGGGCAAACCTACTGAGGGACATAGGATTGCACAGGTGTTGCTGAGGGTGCCACCTGCAGAACCTTTTTTATTGGTGCAGAATCAGAAATAAGTACCCTACCTTAAATCTTAGATCCTAAGGTGAGTTTGCTAGGGCTGATAATTAGGGAGGAGGAAATAAATTATCTTTTCTGTCATAAATGGAGCTGATTTGATAGGGGAAATAATTGCTATTGAACCTCATGACATGTCTAGAGAGGCTTTTTTTTTTCCAGAGGAACAAAGTACAAAGAAATGTTATCATTTACCTCATTTTTAATTGGCTTTTCCTAAAGGAAACATGAACTGTTTTTCTTTTAATTCATTATGGAGCTTCAGCAATACTAGTGCTTCCTCATGCTCCTCTGCAGAGAGGATCTTTGTGAGGAATCAGGACCCAGTATAATCAATGGTAGAAGGTTGTAAGTATCTTTTTTTTTTTTTTTTTTTTTTTTTTTCTTTCCTCCCACCCTGTGTTACTATTGACTTCAGCTGGAGTAAAATAGGGATCTATCTTTTACTTAATATACTAGTTTATTCTTTGATGCTTATAGCAATGCTAAAGAAAACATTGAACTGCTTTTCTTATTCTGATATTAGATTGTAGAACTGTGTGTTTAGATGAAATAAAATGTTATCTAGGGAATTCACTTGTGGAGAAAGTACCTTACATTGAAAGGAACTGGATGGGGGACACCTTTGCTTTCTTTTAAGTGTTTTTGGAGAAAGCTTATATATAAGCTAGGCCATCTTTGTAGGTTTATATATTTAAAAAAAACGTGTGTGTGTGTGTGTGTGTGTGTCGCGCGCCATGATTGCTACCAGGCCCCTGACTGTCTTCATTCTGCTGACCTGCTGCTTCCTCTGCGCTGCTGCTGACACCCAGATATCACTGTCCACTGCTTCCCAGGGGAAGTTTTGGGGTGAGAGTGCCTCTGGGGCATGTGTGACCCACCTAGACCTTTCCTGGAACCCACCTTTTGGGAAACACTTCTAATTCAAAGCCCTCTGTTGTAAACATTTCCTGTGGAAAGCTATTTATAAACCACAGCATATCCTCCTCCTCCTTCCCCCTCAAAGTCCTGCCAGTCTTGGATCTGACCTTCATGCTCTTCCAGTTTTTTCAGGCTCTTTGCAATTTCAGACTGATCATGGACCAAGACCCCATTGTGCTAGTCACTGTGCCAACACAGAACAAAAAGATGGTCCCTTCCCTAAACAGTTTACAATTTAAGTATAAGGGCAAAAGACATCCAATTGATACTGACCGTGCAATGGGGGAGCACAAAGAAACAATAGGACAAAGAAACAAACTTCTGTGTTAAGTCTGAGTAACTGTGCAAACGTTTGCTATGATCACACATCCCTATATAAGCGCACACCTTTATTCTTAATGGCTGAGAAATTGTAACTTTTCATCTCCTTCTGAAAGAACTGGCTACGGGTGCCCCCTGCAGTTACTTTAGTGCCATCAACACACAGATTTCCTAGTAGGGGATGTTTTAAAGGTACTATGGACTGTTTTCTGTCAGCTAATCATTTTAATAACATGTTCTTTTTTTCCTTTTGACCTGGAGTTTATGGATTTTGGCTTTACAAGTGACAACTGGTTCTTCATCTATTAGAACGTGCTACCACTGTGCCTGCTAGTCTGTTTTTGTTTTTATTCACATGAAAACCTCATTTTATTTTCTTGCTGGACCGTGTTTTCTCTTACAACATATTTCATTATCAGTAGGGCCCTACCAAATTCGCGGTCCATTTTGGTCAATTTCACGGTCATGGGATTTTTAAAATCATAATTTCATGGTTTTGGCTATTTAAATCTGAAATTTCACAGTGTTGTAATTGTAGGGGTCCTGACCCAAAAAGGCGTTCTGGAGAGGTTGCAAGGTTATTGTAGGGGGGGATTGTGGTACTGCTACTCTTACTTCTGCACTGCTGTTGGCGGCAGCACTGCCTTCCGAGTTGTGGCTGCTGGCCGGGAGCCCCGCTCTGAAGGAAGAGCCGCTGCCAGCAGCAGTGCAGAAATAAGGGTGGTGGGATGGTATGGTATTGCCACCCTTACTTCTGCGCTACTGTATGCCGAGCTGGGCCCTCAGTCAGCAGCCACCACTCTCCGGCCATCCAGCTCTGAAGACAGCAGTGCAGAAGTAAGGGTGGTCTGGTATGGTATTGCCACCCTTACTTCTGTGCTGCTGATGGCAGGGCACTGCTTTCAGAGCTGGGCGCCCGACCAACAGTCGCCACTCTCCGGCTGCCCAGCTCTGTAGGCAGCTCAGAAGTAAGGGTGGCAATACTGTGACCTCCCTAAAATAACCTTGTGACCCCCCTGCCCGCAACTCCCTTTTGGGTCAGGCCCCCTAATTTGAGAAATGCTGGTCTTCCCTGTGAAATCTGTATAGTATAGGGTAAAAACACACACAAGACCAGATTTCACAGTCCATGACATGTTTTTCATGGCCGTGAATTTGGTAGGGCCCTAATGATCAGATTTATCGCTGGCATTGCAGGTTTTAAAAAACCCATCACCTTGAATGATGTACTTCCATTTATAAACTAGACAAGGGAACAACAGGTCACAGTGGGCTGATACTCAAAGGACTGGCTCACCTATTCTATCATTTGTGGTTGAGCACCAGAAATAAGGCCAGTTGCTCAAGTGGTGTAAATTGGCACAGTTCCAATGCAGTTATTAGAACATAGATTCCAGATTTTGATCATGATCATAAGTAATTGCTTTTCTTTCAAAATGTGCCAGTTATTTGCTCCTAAGAAGCTGTAAAATGTCACATGTACCTAAATGGAGTCTGTTTTCTGAAAATTTGGACCCTCTTGGCTCTAAAAGCGCTTTCTCTTAGAACATACTTGCCTAGAATTTGGAGTTTTAAAATATTTTATATTCACAAATTCAGTACAAGTCTTAATCAAAGAATTAGCAATATTTTACAGAGTTAAATTGAGACAATTTTATACTGACTATTCCTCACCCTTTGGAATGTGTGTTGTTTTTTTTAATGGGGGAGACAGTGTCTTATTTTTGTAGTGATGATGCAATCATTTTAGATATAATGAAATCTTATGGGGTTTAATCAGTTGTAATTAAGGTAGTAAAACTAGTTGGTTTCCCTGAGAAGTCACGAGGATTGTGGTCTACATAGCTGCAATGTTTCAGGAAGAAGATGTAACCACATGTTTTGAGCATAAGTATGCACACGTAGGTGAAACAATTTGTATGCACAAAACCCATTTGTGCGTGAACAGTTTATCAACTATGCCCAGGCATTATAGTCTTTCAACTGTGTGCACAGATATTAGCATACCAAAATGCATGTGCACAAAATTGTGCACACACAGACCTGGAGGTCTGGTTGAGATTGCACTGAAAAATAGGTCAAACATCTTTGAGAGCTCTGATGTACAGGTACAGGCCTGTTGGGTTTATGCCCTCTGCCAGCAGGTAGAAATGGGAACATACCAGATATGTGCCTAGTTTTATAAGCAGATTTTCCCACATATCAGAACCCCTCTAGCAATAGAATATGATAACTTACTCAGCTGACAGCACATTAGGAGGTCTTAAAAAAACTTGCAGAATCAAATAGTTTTTTATTAAAAGAACATGTCATACTGCATACATCGCAGTAGAGGGAACTACAAGCTTCCCACACAGGAGATCCATTCAGAACATAATGAGGCCTTCACCTAAAAATAGCACACAGTGCAGAAAAACATCACTGAGAGAGAGGCATTCATATAAAATGCAGCCCTTGAGCTTGTGAACTAGAAGGAGATCACATCACAGTCAATAAAAGCACTGTATGAGTCAATGTCCTTCCCCAGAAGGGCTGTTCAGACACATATGCCATTACCAGAAGCGCTCTTCCAAAAATTAACTAGAGACAGATTCCAGCAGCCTGAGTAAGGCACTGAATGAGAGGTAGAGATTTAGAGCCAGATTGTGATCCCATTACTTATGCTGGGTACTATATAATCTAACCCTTGGATCGTAAACTCTTCAGGACAGGTACCATATTTTCTTGTCTGTTTCACACAATATTACACAAATTTGTACTTCTCCTCAGCAACAACAGCAAGAACAAAAAAGCCAGGGTACAAAAAGCCAAGGCATTCAGCTACCATGGAGACGGGCATGCTATAAGACCCTAAACATGGTGCAGCAGACTATACAATACTCACTATCACCCACGATTTAGACAGGACTGTCTCTACTGTTTCCCACTCAAAGCACTGACTCAGGAGAGAAATCCTTAGCGGAAGAAGTCAGTGGCATAGCCAGGTGGAGGGAAGAGGGGGAGTGGGGGAAAAAAAAAAGATGCCACCCACTGTGGCGCTTTTACTGATGGGGCAGCTCTCTGGGAC